GGCTCTGGCTGTGGGCAGTGGCTGTGGGTGAGTGGCTTCTGCTTTCACAGCAAACTCAGCTCAGAAGGGAGTGGGGGTAAAATTGGCATTTGTATCCAAGGGAGGGGGTTTTGCCACACTACTGTGCCCCTGCGAGACCCCACCTAGAGCACTGTGTCCGGCTCTGAGGTCCTCAGCAGCAAAGGCATGGATCTGCTGGAGCAAGTCCAGAGGAGGCCACAGAGATGCTCCAAGGGCTGGAGGCTCTGCTCTGAAGCCAGGCTAGAAGAGCTGTGGGTGTTCACCTGAAGAAGAGAAGGCTCTGGGGAAGCCTTATTATGGCCTTTTGGTACTTAAAGGGGGCCTATAGGATGAAGGGAGAAGGACTTCCCATGGGCAGATAGTGACAGGACAAGGGGAGATGGCCTTAAGCTGAAGGAGGGCAGAGTTAGATCAGATATTGAGGAGAAATTCTTCCCTGTGAGGGTGGGGAGGCCCTGGCACAGAGAAGCTGTGGCTGCCTCATTCCTAGAAGTGTCCAAGGCCAGGTTGGACAGGGCTTGGAGCAACCTGGGCTAGTGGAAGATGTCCCTGCACATGGCAGGGGGTGGAATGAGATGATCCTTAAGGTCCCTTCCCACCTAAACCATTCTGTGATTCTGTGATCTATTCAGGATCTCCAGAAGGCAGAATCCCCCTCCTCTCTGGGAACCGGCTGTGGCCTGGTCTAGGCTGGCACTGAGGGTACCAACTCCCATCTCATGCATCAAGGAGTTTCCTTCAATGACATCTGATGTCCAATGACACTGCAGCATCTCCCCATGCAGCACAAATGAGGGTAACTTCAAAACAGTTATGAGCACAGACACAACGAAGTAGCAATGACAGAAGCACAGTGGGATGCTCAGGGAATCTTCAAGCACAGGTGTCTGTTCAGTACCTGCTGCACCACAGGGAACTGAGCAGTGCTGTCAGTGCCCTTCACTGCTGACAGGGGCTTTGTCCATTACAAGTCCAGGTTTCTTTTTCCCCTTTTAAAGTTGCTGACTCTAAAATCTTCTCCTTGACATTTTCTCTACACTAGTAGGAGGGGTTTTTTTGTTGATTCTGGAACCACTTGAAAACAGGGGAAATTGGCCAAGACATTCAAAAGTTAAATTAAAATCTGACTCTGCAAATAGCCAGTGTCAGTGGTGTGAATAATGTCCCTCTCCAGGAAGAGATGTTGAGGGAAAGGAGAGAATTGGATCAGAGTGAAACACAGCTTAACACAGACAGCTAAAAAAATCTAGGGTTGGATAGGGTGACTTCTAAAGGAGATACTGAATATTTGGATTCAAAATTTTTGGTACCAAAGGAGGAATTGTTAATGGGTTAAGGTCAGGACATTCCTGAGCTTGCCCTGCGTGGTTGGTGTGAGCTTTGTGAAGCCCTGGCAGTGAGAACAGGATTTACGGGTAGGAAATCTGCAGCCATTGCTTTGGAAAGCTTTAATCATGGGTTATTGTTGTGTCAGGGGTTTCTGTGTGCGCCTATGGATTAAAGAATGTATGATATGTCTAGAATTCCGAGAGGGATGTAAACAAGCCTCATGTTCTATAGAATCTTTTCCTGCTCGGAGGTGTCGCTGATGTTGATCAGAGCACTGTGCCAGTTTCCTCTTGAGAAGTGTTCATTTACTGACAGCAAAGCACATGAAATGTCATCCCTGGTGAAACATTGCTCTCTACATCTGTGCCCACATCTTCTGGGGCCAAACTTTCCACATTCTTGCCTCTTGCAGAGCTGTTGCGGTGGAAGCCTTTCCCCTTTAGAGCAATGTTGGGGTTTTTTTCAGTAAAAAGACAAACAAAGCTATTTTCTGTTTCAGAATGCAAGATGGGATATCTCTGGAGAGATTAACCTTCTTTACAGAGTTGTTTTTTGTGGTTGAAAAAAAAATCTGTTATCATTAAAAAATAAAAAAAAAATCTGCACCTCATTATTTCCAGAAATAAAGCTGCCATGATTAGATTTATTGAGAATTGACTTGGGGTGAACTGAAGAGAGCTCCAACCCCAAAGAGTCGGTGTTTTAGAAAAAAGGCAGGAAGGCAATAGGATGGACACAGGGGAAGCAAGAAGAGGGAATTGCTCTGTGATGTTAATAAGAAAATATGTTCTTTTTGGGAAGGACTCTGAGGAGTGGCTTGGCAGACACGGCAGGAGGGGTTACTCAGCCCCTCTCCATGTGTTCAGTGCTTGCCTGAGCTCAGTCACAAGAGGTGGAGATGGGAGAGATGCACAAAAGTCAGGACTGGCATGGCCAGGGGAAGAATTCAGGAGGAAATGTAGAAGGCAAGAAGCGTGAGCAGGAGAGCTTGTCCTTTCCTGCCCTGCCCCTTCCCTAGCTTCTCTCCTGTGCTTGAGCCCCTGGTGAGCTGCTGGACCCCCATCCCACTGCCCCTGACTCCTGCTGTGCCCCAACCTCTTGTGAACAGCAGTAAAACTATTCCTCCACATATCCATGAGAAGAACTGTGGTTTGGCATTTGACAGAGTCTCAGGGGTGCAGATGTAGTGCTGAGGCAGCAGTTTCTGTGAGCAGCCTGGTGCTACCTGGGGTTCCGGATTCCTCCAAAGTGTTCTCAGGAGCCTCTGCCCCCACCTGCACCTCCGGAGGGGGGTCATTCCTTTTTTTCTTCTTGGCTTTCTTTTTCCCTTCCCTTTTACCTTGGGGCCATCAACAGATCTGTTTCCTGATCTCTGTGTCTGCTTTGAAGACAACTTCTCACCTTTTAGTTACTGAAGGAATGTGAGGAATGAGGCCCCATGGCCCCAGCCTCCCACCCAGCTGGGAGGTGTTCCTACATGCCGGGGACAAGGAGTAAGGTGCTGCCATCCCTGGGAGCAAGCTCAGTGCCTGGGAGCAGGCTCAGACCCTTGGGCACTGCTGGTGGGCAGCAAAGGGGAGATGGCAGCGACATGTGCAGGGTGGAGATGGACTTTCAGTGCAGATCTGAGCATTTCAGTCCTCTGAAAATACTTGTTGGTAGTGCCAGCAGGGATCCAGTCCTAGAGCTAGAGGTCCTGAGCCCCCGTGTAGATTTTCAGCTTGTTTTAGCAGTTTTGTAGGCAATATTAACTTCTAAGGCAGATGCATGAGTAAATCAGAGAGGAGCAAGTTGCCAACGTGGCTGTGATGGCTCTGGGATATTTGCAGGCACATGTAGGGGACAAGGGGTGCTCCCACCCCCATGGAGCTGCTGTGACTGTTGGCGTCACTGTGTTTGTATTAACTCTTACAACTGCACCTGCCAAGAGGTGGACAAGTCAGAAGAGCTCTGGTGCATCCAGCTGTCGCCGTGAGGGCTGTCACAGTCCCTGTGTCCCTGCCCTGCCCCTCGCCCATGCCAGGGTGGGCAGCCTGCCATGCTCCAGCCAGGCTGGCTCACAGCTGGGATTTGGACTTAAACCACTGGCAGCATGAGTCTGTGCTGGTGCCCCCGGGCTCTGCAGTGTGCCAAGGCATGCGTTCACTTCCTCTAGAGAACAGATGGGAGCAGGGAACGTCCTAAACTGCCCTCCCTGTTTGCAGCTGCAAACACAGTGACACCTGAGAGTGTGTTTGTCCCTATGGCTGGAGCAATGATCCAGTTGTCACATCCCCAGAGGCCTCGAACAGACACAAAGGGAGGAATTTCTTCACCCAACCCTGGTTCATCCCACCTGGAGAGACTGCTCTGGGTTCCTCTCACTGTCAGTGGGGATGAAGGAGGACTTTCAGAGCACATTTCATGCAGCCTGTTTCCAGTGCAGGGTGACACTACTCTCCCCCTGGGCCCCACCCTGCCCGGAGGAAGAACCTGGTGCCCCTGTTTCACAGCAGTGGGTGCAGGGGAGCTGTAGGCTGACATCAGCCTTTCCCTGGCTGTGAACACCAAAGCTGTCCCTCAGGAAAGCTTTGCTGATGTGCCTTCCCTGTCACCTGTGGGAGTCTGGCAGTCGTAATTATCCGTGCAAATACTTCCAAGAACAGATGAGGCCCCACTCCACTGTCTGCCCTGAGAGACACTAAGCCATGCTACGAAGATGCTCCAGGGCCTGGAGCCTCTCTACTCTGGAGACAGGCTGAGGGAGCCAGGGGTATTCAGCTGGAGAAGGGAAGGCACCAGGAATATCTCAGTGTGGCCTTTCAGTACTTAGAGAGGGCTTATAAGAACGATGGGGACAGAGTTTTTAGCAGGGCCTGTTGCAGCAGGACAAGGGGGGATGGTTTTAAACCATCCATAAGGATGAACTTTTTTACAACAAGGGTGCTGAGGCCCTGGCACAGGTTGCCCAGAAGAAGCTGTGGCTGCCCCATTCGTGGAAGTGTCCAAGGCCAGGCTGGATGGGGCTCTGAGTGCTCTGGTCTAGTGGAAGGTGCCCCTGCCCATGGCAGGGGGTTTGGACTAGATGACCTTGAAAAGTCACTGCCAATCCAGCCTGTTCTGTGATTCTATTATTCTATTGCCTCTCACAGGCCATCAAGTCACAGCATCACTTTGGACCTATGTACAGGTGCAACATGGGATTAAAACAATCTAAACTCTTACCCCTCCATAATTATCTGTTTAATTGCAGACACCTTTGCTCTCTTGTTAGTGGTTGGTTCTGATTTTGCTTAATGTAATCAGTGTCTAAGTAAATAATATACTGGTCACCAGTCAGGCTCAGTGGTGGTGGTGTAGCCTTGTTTCTCTGTGATGTACCTGCAAAGTGGCTTTCCCTGGACAAACAGCCATGCTGGCAAGGGGACACAAGTATCCCAACGAGCTCGCAGTTCAAGTGTGTGCTCTTCATCTCCTGGCAGAGAAGTGCAGCACTCACTGGAAAACCACTCCTGTGGTGGGATGAGCCCTGCTCTGGCAGTGGGGTGGCTCCTGCTCCTCCCTGCCCTCGCCCAGGACCCCAGCAGGACACTGCATCCAGAGAGGGGGGGAGAGACAGCCATAATGGGAATTGCACTGACAGTGTTCCTTCCCTCTGCTTCCCCTCTCAGAGCACAGCTGGGGACAGTCGCTGTCTCCAGGGGCACCTGGTGCAGCTGCTGCTCCGGCACTGCCCCGGGCGCGCGGCGCGGTGGGCGCGGCACTGGGGGCTGCCCATGGACGTGCTGCCTCCCGGCCTGGCTGAGGAGCTGCCAGAGCTTCACACCCAACAGAGGTAAAGACCCTTTTCAGTGTACATTACTTGTATATTTATTTGCTTAAAATCATCTACCATAATGCTTCCTTGGGAAGACAATTTTGCAAAGGCTCCCTCCATGTACTCAGATCCATCGTGGCCCTGTACACACTGCATTTGTTTGTCATAAGCCTGGAAATGTCTGTGAAAGGAGCATTTTAAAGTCATCCTGAGTTTATCACAGAAGCTCTGTGAGATTGCTTCATGCTGCAGAGGGTTCTTAAGTTTCCTCTGCCAGATCAACAGTGCAAATGAAATCATGTGACTAGGACCTGAATATACATCTATTCTACTGAGGTTATTACACATCTGTCAAAGTTTTCCATATACTCTGCACCCCCACTGGACTGTAACCTGGTTTAATGCCTTTCAGGAGGCTTATGACCAAGAAACTAATTGTAAAGTTCCTTAGATTTTTTAATTGTATTTATTTTCTTCCTTCTTTTACAGCTCATAAACCAGTTTTTTTCCCAGTCCGTAATGTTGACCTCATCCAAAGAAGTATTGAGAATTTTTGACATTTGGGGTCAGATAACAGAAGAGACACATTAATTGAATAAGTGAGCTTAAGAAGCTTTTAGCCCCCTCATTAGTCTCTGTTCTCTTTTCTTCCTCTGCTGCAATCCCAATAACCCAGTGCCATGTTCTACTCCTGCTTTGGGACCCCCATGTTGTGTACACCAGATGAACCTACAGTAGCCACAGTTCCTCCCCCAACAGGAGCTCCATTCTCAAAAGAATTGAAAAATCCTTATATTAAGGAGGATTCTTACAACTCCTTGATTTCAGGTGCTCAGAACTGTGCAAACAGCCCCAGTCAAGGATCTCTTTAAACCTGCTGGTGTAGAAGGAACAGAGGGGAAGGATGGAGAGGTGAGGGTGGCAGGTTCCACACCGTGTGTAGACAAAGCTGTGCCAAGTTGAGAAGAGGCTCAAAACTCAGGAAGGCCCATATACCCCCTGAAGTGTCAGGAGCTGTCTGATCCCCATGGCAAGCTGGATCTGGAGGAATACCAGGGCTTTGAAGTTCTGGTTCTGAGTATTCTGTGCTGTGTCTCTCTGAGAAAATGTCCCAAGATCATCCTCTTCAGGCAGCAGTGTCCCCATTTAACAGCTGCCCAGCTGTGCTGTACAGAGAGGGACAGAATCTCTGTGAAGAAGTGACTCAATGCAAGTGATTTGCTGAGCCCCAGTTCACTGTTACACTCTGGTGAGCACTGGCAGACCTGCCATGTTTCAGTGACTGCATCCATGAGATGTTCCCAGGGAAACTGTGGCTGCCCCATCCTAGACCAGGTTGGATGGGGCCCTGAGGAACCTGATCTAGTGGAAGGTGTCCCTGTCTGTGGCAATGGGGGTGAAGCTGGATGATGTCTGAGGTCCATTCCAACCCAAGCCAGTCTGTGATTCTCTGATTCTGTGTTTAATCAAGTTCTTCAGAGACAGCCATGTTTGCCACCCTTTTTTAACCCTTTTTCTCCTGCAGATATTCAGCCTACTAAAAGTCTTGAGGAACCTGCAGAGCTGGCAGTGGATACTGCATGAGGGTCCTGTTAGGATCTCACCCAGGGCTGCAGAGGAGATCTAGAACCTCAGGCTGGATGAGGCCCATTGACACACAGCCCAGAACTCTGCTCACACTGTTCCTGAGCCAAACCCCTGCCAGGCTGCAGGCCACCACAGCCCTTGGGGTCAGAGTCATTACCCAACCACCTTGCTGGTCTCTGCTCATTCATGTGCAGGAATTCATCTAATTGGATTCCTGTGCAGGGAAGAGGACTTATCCCTGAGCTCGATGCAAATGCAGGAGCTGTGGGCTGTGGTTGTGGTGCAGCAGAGCTCAGAGCTTTGCTGTCATTCCAGGAGCAATAACATGTTTCCAGGTACAGTCAAGGCTTTTTCCAAAAACCAAAGTGAGGAAGCAGTAGGTTCCTTACAACTCTTTGATCGTTGAACACATCAGCCACCTTATTCCAGGGTGTTATGCTTGACTGGATTTGGCTCCACCTTCCACATATCTCTCTTTTACCCTCACTGGTGAAACATGTTGGGTTTTTTTGACATGGAGATTGGTGTCTCTGGTTCAGAAGGGAGCTGGGATTAGAGAAATGTTTATGGAAAAATTCTGACCACTCCCAAGAGGTAACCATTGACAACTTTGTGCAAGCTGAGAGCCCGTACCTTCAGCAACCTGCAAACATGGCCCTTGAAGCCTTTAATATGAGGGAGTAACTTCCCGTAGGGAGCTGAACTTCTCAGTGTATGTGATGGAAGTGTGGATCTGAGTTGTAATGAACTGTGTGTCCAGGAGGAGCTGTGATGACCTCGGATGTTGCCTGTTTGGGGAGGAATAAAGCCATCAGAAAGTCGAAGGTCACTGCTCCATGACCAGCAAGCTGGGGACTCCAGCACCATGCCTGTGATGAGAAGCAGAGGCAGGGCCCTATTGGCACGAGTGGTGCACGAGTCTGCACACCCATGGTCACCTTGTGTGGGCTGGGGCTTCCTCCTGTCACTGCAAACGTGCAGTTGTGTGCAGGTGATTTGGGAGTGTCCTTTTACCTGATGTTCTTACAGCAGGACTTTCCTCCTGGGGTCATATGTCCGAATTATGAACTCCAAGTAACAGCTAGGATCTGTCACTGGCTGCCTGATTAATGCCAACACCTCTCTGTGGAATAAGGAGACCATTTTAAGAAGACCAAGCCTGAGACTGAGCAGGACTATCTGCTCCGATGGATTTATCATCAGATTTGCTGTCCTCAATATTACAGCCTATTTCAGTCTCCTATGAAGAGGTGCTTATGCTTTCATAACTAAATTGGTATTTTTGGAGCATGGATTGGACTAACTTAAAGGTGAATGAGACCACGGTGTATTACTATTTTTTAAAGCTGATGATTTTGGGAAAGTCTCACAGGTGGCCTTGAACTGTTCATGTTCATGGATCATGGCTTTGTGGATCTACTGTTTCTCCTAGTGCAGATCTGGTTCTTGTTCAGGCCCCATGTCACCTCAGGAAACACGACACAGATCGAAACACTCTCTGCAAAGAACAACTTCTCCAGAGGGTCCGTGGTTTTTCTGGAGCGCAGGAAACTCTTGTCTGTCTAGGACATGCTCCTGCCTTGCTCTGATGCACTGCTGGAGCTGCCCTCCTGCTCCTCCTCCTCCTTCTCCTCCTCCTCCCTTCTAAAGCTGCATCAGCTGCCAGTTGGGAGCCAGGGGGTTTTTGCATGAGGGACAAGCCCTCAAAACACAAAGGGATGGTTACAGGAGTGTGGCTGAGCCACAGACTATGCATCTAGAGATAAAACTCATCACTACATCTCTGTGCTGTGGGAATCCTGTGCTGTACCAGGTGGAGGGAAGGCAAGGCAGTGAGGATGTGCTCTGCCCTGCATGAGGAGTTGGGACAGATGAATAAAACCCTTTATGCTGCAGTTTACTCATCCAGTCATGATACCTGCTATAGTAGCTGCTATAAAGTCAGCAGAGCCATGGAACCCCATAAAACAGTCTGGCTGCCTTGTTTATTGAGCCAACAAAGCCACAGGTTCCCAGAGAGGGAGTTCACACTGCAGAGAACAAGGTGGCACCAGCATGTAAATGACATCATCTGTCTCTGGTCACACCACACGGGGCTCCTGAGCTCTGCAGGTGAGAATATTCCTGGAGACCTGAGCCTACACACCTTCATTAAATATTTTACACAAATATTGACTTCCCCGTGCACACAAACCCACTGGAAAGAGTGTTTGTGCAAGGAGAGCTGCTCTGCTACGAAATTAGTCACGCAGGCTCCCAAACACAGGGTTAGTAAATAGTTTCTCAAATAATGAACCATTTCAAGTTTCTGTGGGAAAGAGACTATCCAGAAATGTGTGATACATCCAAAGTAGCTGGATCTTTTTGATTAGTTTCTCTTTGCATCATCTGGCTGAGCCGCCAGAGCAACACGCTGACCTTCATTTCTGAGGGCATTTCACGAGACTGCTGCATTTGGAACAGAAAATGTGCTGTGTAAGATCCTGTTGTAGGCAATCATTTAGCTCATTTTTGCAGACATCTTCCAACATTCCCAGGGAATTAATACACAGAGACTGAGTTTCTCTGTGTGGTGCCATCAGAAACCCACACGGAGGGAGTAGCACAAGCACAGCACACACTCTGTGGGTTCAGCTGCTGCCTTCCCCAAAACAGAGAAGGGTTTGAATCTTTGTTTCTGAACTTTTTTTATTTCATCCCTGTGCAATGTAGGACAAATGTCCTTGTGCATCCTATGTGACCATTTTACAGGGAAGAGAATGGAGGAGGAGAAGCTGGATAGCTTCAGGGAGGTCTGTGAAGCCTTCGCAAGCCATTGCACTATAAAGTGATGAGGCAGATTCCCCTGTTCCCAGCTGATGGGGATCTGAGTGTGGAGCAGTCTGAGAGGCTGTGTGAGCGGGGCACAGTGAGGCTCCTGTTTGGACAGAGTGCTGCTCAGAGCTGACTCTCCATTTGGTGTCACACCAGCAGGCACCTGTGTTAGCTCGAAGGCAAGAATCACTAAATCTAAAATGTGTTATCCCTGAATGTGGAAACAGCTGCCCAATTTTGTCATCCAGGTTCTGGGCAAGAAGGATGAGCATTGAGGACAGGCTTGGACTCTGACTCCAGCAAGTGGTGTGGGTGTTCTCTTCAGTGGATACAGTGCATGTGCATGATGAGCTCGTGGGAAAGGAATGGAAAGAGAGGATGAGCCTACAAGAAGGCTGGAGAGGGACTTTTCACAAGGACCTGGAGTGACAGGACAATGGGGGATGGCTTCCCACTGCCAGAGGGCAGGGTTGGATGGGATATTGGGAAGGAATTCCTCCCTGTGAGGGTGGGGAGGCCCTGGCACAGGTTGCCCAGAGAAGTTGAGGCTGGCCCATCCCTGGAATTGTCCAAGGCCAGGTTGGATGGGGCTTGGAGCAACCTGGGCTAGTGGAAGGTGTCCCTGCCCATGACAGGGGGTGGAATGAGATGGTCGTTAAAGTCCCTTCCAACCCAAGCCGGTCTGTGATTTTGTTATTCTAAGATGAAAGACTGAGATTACAGGGAAAGTGAGGAAAGAGTGGGTAAGAGAAAGTGTCATGGGAAAAGAGTGGGCTGAGGTGAAATAAACAGCATGAGACTTCCCACTTTTCCTCAAATTCAATATTTTCTCCCATTGCATGGCTTAAAACTGTTGTATCTGATTTTGTGCAGGGTAGAAGAGGCCACAAAAGCAGATAATTATGAAGACTGTAAGAAGAAGGACTGTTACCAGCTTCCTATTTCACGGGAAAATATTCACTTCCTACAGACATGGGAAGAGACACTGCAGTGCTGGGAGAAGGTGCTGCAGGTGAGTGTTACCTGGGATTGACTTTGCAGGGTCAGGGAGCAGGAACTCTGTATCAGGCTTGTACTCACAGCTGGATGTGGCCACTGCCATCCAATGTCTCCCTCCCCAAGCCAAGAATAGCTGCTCCTTTAGGTTTGTGTGATCTGGGGAACGTGTCGGGAATTGTGCCAGGAAAGGTCCCCGCCGGGGTACTCAGGTGCTGTGGGAGTTACTGTCTCTGTAGCAGTTTGCACAAAGAGCTCCCGTGGTTGGAAAGGAAAGGCTTGTGTCCTGGACAGACTCTCCAGGCCCCTCTCCAGCACAGCAAGTCTCTGAGTGCAGGAGGTGTCTGTTGCAGCCTGGGCAGGTGGTTGGCGTTGACATGGAGTGGAAGCCTTCCTTTGGCATGGTGGGGAAGCCCCGTGTTGCCCTCCTCCAGATGGCAGTGAAGGATGAGGTGTTCCTGTTGGACCTGCCACGGCTCCTCGAGCAAGCTGAGCTGGAAGGGGAGAAGGAGAAGGAGAAGCTCCCCCGATTCATCCAGATGCTCTATTCAGATGCTGCCATCACTAAACTAGGTAACACACCTCTCTTCTCCCTACCCTGAGGCTTCACACAGCCTGCTTTGTCATTTTTGTCATTCCTAGATCTTCTTGGAGTTGTCGTTCTCCAAATCCACTTGCCATGGAATCAGCTTTCGTAGCCCTGGGTGTTGAGGCACTGCCAGGCCAGGAAGCAGGGTGACCAGGGGAATGATAGAAATATAGAATCACAGAACCCTAGAATATCCTGAGCTGGAAGGGACCCACAAGGACCATCCAGTCCAACCCCTGGCCCTGCACAGACACCCCAACAATCCCACCCTGTCCCTCAGAGCGTTGTCTAAACTCTCCTGGAGCTCTGGCAGCCTTAGGGCTGTGCCCACTGCCCTGGGGAGCCTGGTCAGTGCCCAACCACCCTCTGGGGGAAGAACCTTTCCCTGAGATCCAACCTAAACCTCCCCTGACAGAGCTTCATGCCATTATATTTCCCCATTTCAGATCAGAGACAAGATTTCTGATTTAACTTGCACTCTTGGACTTGGGATTATCCTAATTCCATACTAAGCTCCAACTGACACCCAAACCTTTTGGTTTAGGGAAGTCTGGCAGACAGAGCTTTCTGGATGTCTCTGTCCTTGCCCCAGAGCTGTTGTACTGGACACCAGAGCTCTCTGAATTACCATACCTGGTTTTTGGAGGCTTTTGGCAGGATTTGCAAAGCCTGGATTTCAAGGACAAATTCATAATTACCTTCCCAGATTTTAAATAAGTTGATCTTAAACTCAGCATTTTTCATCCACCTCTTCTCTCCCTGGATCTGCAGGAGTGTCTCTTGGGAAGAGGAGAGATGGGAGCCAGTCTTTTTCCCTGTTTGAACAGTCTTCCCACCAGTGTTTGTGTATCTTTTGTCAGCATTTTGACTCTGAAGTAGAATAAGCTGCAGTGCTTTAGCCATGACCTGAGTTTTCTTACCTGTGTGATTTGGGCTGTTTTTGTCTCCAGGTTATGGGATGTCTGGAGACCTCAGCAGCCTTGCAGCCACTTGTTCTGCTCTGAAAGACATAGAGAAGCAACTGCATGGTGTGGTGGATCTACTCACAGTGGACAAACAAGTAAGGATGAACACATCGAGATGTGGGAAGTTGTGTCTCCTGTGTGTACTGTTGGATAACTGTACTGAATCCATAGCACTGTCTGTTTGTATCCTGGATTGGCAGGGATGCAGCTACATGTGTAAATAGACCATTTCCTGTAGTGTGTTTGATGTGTTGGGATTCTGTAAAGGAAGACAGAAGCATTTTGTTTTCATCAGCTAAAAGGTTAAAGCTTGCAATATTGACAGCTTTTTCACAGCCTTCATAAAAACTCCATTCAGCCAGGGCAAGGTTTCTGAGCACAAGTTGAACTTAATACTAAGTTCTTGTAGGAATTCTGCTATCCCAGGACCATGCAATATTGAAGCAGATATGATGGAGTTAATGATTTGTGCAGAACTCTAATGTTCCTTGGAGGGCTGCTGGTGGGTTCAGCACAGGAATTTCTGGTCAGCTGAAGCACAGCTGTCCCTGGGTTTGCACACAGGAGCTTTTAGCAGTCTGCAGAAGTGTTGAGCACAACCGTTTTCATGGGTAAAATGTACAGAGTGTGTTTAAGGCTGTGGGTTGGGGTGAAGCAGATCTTTGGGACTGATAGCTTAACCTGGGAAGTGCTGCAGGGGCCGACATACCTGCCAACAGCTATTGCCTCAGTTTAACCTGAGAAATGGCAGCTTCAGAAAGGGCTGCTGCCCAGGGTGCCACAGGAATGCCTTTTCTCATTGGGACAAGGAGCAGAAAGATGCTGAACTGCCACTGCTGTTCTTTTTTGAGTGGGTGCCTAGCAGCCTCCAGCACAGCTGAGCACCCAGAGCTCTCTGAGGAGCCCCAGTCCCAGCCCTGCAGCTCTGGTACAATGCTGTACAACAATGCCCTTTTTTTTCTTCCTTGGCTATGAAACAGATTTCTCTCCAGCAAGTGTGTTTGTTAAACAAATAACCTGACGCTGTTTATATCTAATGCCATCCCAGCCCTTGTCTGAGACAGCGGGGTTCAATATGCCAGGCAGGAGATGGACGTGATAGAGTTGTGCCTGGCCCCACCCGCTGGAACACGAGGTGGTGGAGAAGCTGTTTTATAACCAGGTGTTTTCTCTCTCTGTGTTTCCATCAGCTGCAGAAGGGCTGCAGTGAGTGGAGGAAGGACGGCCGGAAGGTTGATGGACTGTCCCCGGAGCACAGCCACGAGGAGAGAGGGGTCAGGCAGCAGGAGAAGGGACTCAGCCTCCTGGTGCACCATGTGCTGGGGAAACCTCTGGATAAAACGGAGCAGCTGTCAAACTGGGAGAAACGGCCTCTCCGGGAGGAGCAGATCCTCTATGCAGGTCTGGTCCCTGCTCAGTGACACGGAGCTACAGGTGTCCAGGACAGGTTGTGTTTGGCTGTTCTGTCACCAGGAAGGTCATTAAGTAGCAAAGGAAGAGAATGGCTTTGCAGATTAGTTTCTGTTCAGAGGAGTCAGCACATGTTTTGTTTGTCCTTTTGCGGACATGGCTTTAATGGTTGAAGTTTAAACTGTCCAATGATTCATTATTTCCCTTATGAAGGAATTCCTGTGCTTTGCAGATTTTGTCTGATGAAACATCACCTCAGTGGAAACTCTTCTCAGTAACTGAAAGGAAGAAAGTCCACTTCCTTCTGCCTCATTTCACAGCCTTTCGGGGAAACAAATGCTGTGTTCATTTGTCACAGTGAAGCGCTTGTTAGAGTCGGGTTAGAAATGGGCAGACGTGGTGTCAGAAACTGCAGCACAGAATCAGGACTGTGGAGGGACGAGTGGAGTTTATTGCTGATTATCCCAGAGTCAGAAGTCTGGGTCTAAATCTTTTCCTGGGGCATCAAAGGACAGTCTTTACTGAAGCAAACCAGCCCTTTGTTAAATTCAACTATCCTTGAAGCTGACACAGTTCCCACAAAAGTTAATCACTAGGACTTGTCAAACTGGCTGGGAGACTCTGGCAGTTCCCGTTGCAGGGAGCAGAGCCACACAACAATGCATGTGGGCAGGTGATTGCAAACAGCTCAGTTAATGCCTTTTCAGATATTGCATCTAGTGGGGAAGTTCCCTTCCCATTGAGAGATGTGGTGAGGAACCCTGGGCAGGCTCAGGGACAATGATGAGGAGCAGGGGCTGGCTGGAGCTATCAGGTGGTGGTTGGAACAGCCACACTACAGTTTGCATTGTGTTAGAGTGGAGAGGGCAGAGCCTGTCACCTTTGAAGATCCTGCCTGGACCCTCTGTAACTGTGTTCAATTATGAGGCTTCATGAATCAGTCACGGAGCACAGGGTAGGACGTGAGTGAGTTGGAGCTTCACAGGTTGTTCACAGTGGCTTTTACAAAGGTGGAGGCTCTCCCTGGCATCAGGAAAGCCTCTGGTTTACTTTTGAATGGAACCAGGTGAGGCTCATATCCCCTTCCTTTCAGCCTCCGACGCGTACTGTTTGCTGGAGATCTACGAGAGGCTCTGCAGGGACCCAGAGAGCTTTGGGCTGAGCTCAGACCTGATGGAGAGTCTAGTGGGAAAACGGAGCATAAAACCCAGGGCAAAGAAGCAGCTGAATAAACAAGAAGCACTGTCACCTTCTGGACAGGTTTGTAAACATCTTCAATGAGCTGCTTGTTGCTCAAGACCCCTGTAAATCATACCCTGCTCGTTCTCAGTCATACCATGAGCTATGCACGGCGGGCCCATTTGCAGCCTGTTCTCAGGACTATTGCAGCAAACGTCCTCCTCATCCCTCCCTCCCTGGAATGATGTGCTTTCTCCTTGGCCTGCCTCCTTTCCCTGCTCTTTGAGGTTCTTTTGTCTTTGCACAGTGTTGGTGCAGATCTGTGTGCAGAGTCCAGTGAGCCTTGCTGGTGGAAATCTCCTTCCACGTTTCCTCAGTGCTGTGGGCTTGGATTCTGTGACCAAGGTGTTGCATCCAAGAGGTTTAAAATTCTGACCTTCTTACTTTTTCTTTTACTAAGCTTCCACACCTTAGTTTCACACTGGGAAAGTCTCCTTAGTTGTGTCTGGAGTACAAGTGTGCAAAGTTGAAAGCAAACGATCCATCAAAAATGCCTTCCTGCTGAAGATTTGTCTCTGCCTCCCTGCACAGCACCACAATCCAGGACTGGCCTCTCCCAGTAGACTGTGTTGTGGCAGAGCCTTAAAACTCCACTGGCCATAACTTGGAGCTGTATGACTCTGCTTAAGTATCTTAGAATAATGACTGGTTCCTCTCAATAATAAAGTTTTACTTTTGAAATGGAACCATCCAGTGGTTTATGCACCTTTGGAAACCTCAGCAGAAACCCCATTTTGTTTGTTATCTGAGAAGACTGACTGTAACTGTGTATCCTTCTGAGGAGCTCCAAATGTGTGCTGAGTTCCTGAAGTCCATGCCACCTTCCATGGTTGGGCTGAGATGTTACTGACTGTATCCACCTTGTCAGGAGGGTGTAGAAGTGCAGCATCCCCTTAGTCCTCATCAGGCAGTAAAACATGGAGCTACTCAGTAGCTCCCTAAGCATTCTGTTCATGGGAATGTTGTGTTACAGCAGAGCTGACTGGCTGCTGCAGAGATGGGAAAAGTGAGTACTTCAGGCTTGAATTACCTTGGGAACCCACGGGTCATCTTTGTGTTGTGTACAGTCAGATTCATGAACTGAGAGGCAGTTGGTAAAACCTGGACTGGGACGCCAAGAAAAGCAGACTTCTCCTGACTCTGCATCCTACAGGACTCCAGACTCTCTTTCCCAGTGTTTCCTGGTCCACTATCTGAAGTGGGGCTAATGACTCTATTCTCCTTTATAAAGCTTTTTGCTCTCTGCTGGCATGAAACGTGAGAAAAAAGCTACATATGACAGTGCTGGCCACTGCATAAACACTGGTGAGGGCCAGCTGCTGCTCCTGCACATCTGTTTGAGCAGCAGCAGCAGCCAGGGTTAGTGTCTTCCAACTGCCTCAGCACTGAGGGGCAGCTCGATCCCTTGTCCCAGCCCTCTGATGTCCCAGCTGCATCCACCAGGGTCCTGCAGGAGCTGGTGACAGTGCAGTCTGCCCAGTGCTGCAGAGCCCTGAGGTCGTGGACCAGCTTCTGGGAGGTGCAGCCTCCCACCAGTGGAGCTCCTGGATCTGACCTGGTTCCCAGGGTCAGCCCAGGTGGAGCTGCATGTTGTGCCACAGCATTCCCAGCCCTGAGCCAGCTCCTGCAGGGCTAATCTGCAGTGCTGACTCCCTGCATAGGTGCTGGCTGTGTCCTTCAGTCATCCCAGCTGATTCAAGTTCCTGGAGTCAAAAGCTGAACATTGGAAGTTCCTTAATAACTTCCCTTCTCCATGAATTTAGCTATTGTACTTCTGGGAGCCTCCAAGCGCTGAAGTCCTCCAAGTGCAGGAACTCCCCCAGCAGCAGATATTCGAAATAAAACAAACAGAATTTAGGCACTGCCTATTTTTAACCTTCCAAAGATAACAGAGCTGACGTGGTTGCTTTGTCTACCTGTTTCTCCCTCTGTCTGTGTGATCCCCTTCCCAAATCATAGCTTTGGCACATGTTTATTAGTTGCACACTAATTCCATAGGGGAACAGCAGCCTTGACGATGTTTCTGTGACTTCATGAAGGTGGATGTCTGTGTAGAGCACTGAAGGCCAGGTTGGCATTTCTCCAGGGAAAGGCTGCAGCTCCCTGGATCGGGTGGCCAGCTGGCCAGCGAGACAATGACTAATTCAGAATTAGCCCCATCATGTGCTGCCTCCTACCCACATGGCAGTGGGCAGTGTGGAAAGAGGGAAGGAGGATCTAGAGGTGTTGCAGAGCCCGGTGTGATAGAGGTGGAAGGAGACAGTTGGATTTGTTGCGGTGGGTTAATGCAGGGACGTAAAACACGAAAGTACTGGAAATCAGCCTTCTGCTGTTTATGGGTCTCTTGCCTTTCTCTAGCAATGCCAAGGATCCCAGATGGAGACCTCCCGTGCCCCTGCCCCTGTGTCCCCCAGGGAGTTCAGCGTGGTCTGTGACAACATGCTGCAGGGCCTCGGGCGCTACCTGCGCTGCCTGGGTGTGGATGTCCGGATGCTGGACAACGAGGATGACCACAGGAAAGCTGCTGAGGTGAGTCAGGCACACACATGTGCATGTTCACAGCTGCCACTGTGCTCCCTGGGGATGGCTGCTGCCTGCTCTGGAGCTGCACTGGCTGTCACTCTGCCCAACAGGCAGTGGGTGCAGGAGCTGCCCTGCAGGCGCCTCCTCCTGTGCCTGTGCTGGGTCCCAGCTCTCTGGGTCAGTCTGAGAAGCTGTGCCACCTGGCAGCTGGTGACAGCTGGTCCCTGCAGTGGTGGGTGGGCTTGGTTCTCTGCTTCCAGTAGAGAGGTGAGCAGAGACTGCTGTGATCTCACTCTTATTTATGTCTGTTTATGTCATCGACAGCCAGAGCAGTTGAAGTCATGAGAAGAACACAAGCAGAGTGTGAAGATCATAGAATCACAGAATGGTTTGGGTTGGGAGGGACCTTAAAGATCATCTCATGCCAGCCCCCCAAAGATGTGACCAAGTGTCTTTGGGGAGGCTGTGTGTTTGCAACAAGACAAAAGTCAGTGAAAGGAACCCAAAAATCACTTAGATTTCTAATGGATTCCAGTCTGGGCTTACAGGAAAGGTAATTGTTTGCCTTGTGTCCAGGTCCTTGTGTCTAGTTGGGCAGAACCATAATCCAAAGATGGCTGTTCATTATGGAAGGGAAAATGTCCATAATCAATGGCCATGTAATGTCCTGGCTGGCCACCACCTTGTGAGGTGACTCAAAGGTGATCAGCCACAACTTGCTATGACATAATTGGAAAAGGAAGAGTCTCTAACATACATGGGGACAGTGAACATTGATTTGGGCTCCTATAAGAACTCTGATCCTCTGCCTCCCAGAGGAGAGACATGTGCTGCTTCATTTCAGACATATTTCTGCTATGCCAGAACTGGAGACATCCAGCCCACACAGTGTGTGCTACCAAATGTGCGCGAATCACCCGGCTTGGTGTGCAGGATGTTTCCTCTTCAGATGTCTGCTTGGCCTGAGTCCGGGGCAGGCTCTAACTTCTGCAGAAATAATTAATATCTCCTCCCTGCCAAACTTGCACAAGTCATTTAAACAAACTAGTTCTCACTGCTTCCCCCAGAGCCCCGTCTCCGCTTCTCATCCTGATACCTTATCGTGCCACGGACAGGATGTTTGACATTGCTTTCTCTATGGTGACCGGACAAACATCCTTTCACTATCAAAAGCCCTTGGAGTGTTACTGTATTGCAGAGCCTTTGATCTGGGCTTGGATAATCAAAGATAAAAATAGACTCCTCCCACCCTGCTTTATATCTGGCTTGTCCTGATTTAATCAAAGTTGAGTGTTGACCATCCTACGCCCAAAAACTTGGAAATGGTATTGCAAAGGCCAGGAGGGGGTTTGAATCCAGGTCACTGAATACAAGACAGACAGTTTGGGTGTTGCCCCAGCACAATCTCAAACTAGTGTCACTAGGAATACATAAGTGTGTACAGTTAGTGTTTGTTCTTCATTAAAGTCTTTTTGCTCAAATGATTTATCAGTCATATTATGCATCTCCTTGTGCCAAGAACTCCTGCATCACCTGGCATTTGCTCTGTATTGTTCTCATTCCTGTTGCTTGTTAAAGTGGCTTCAAGTATTGATAGGCAGGTAGGTCTGGTCCTTCACCCTCTGTTATTTGGGATCAAGCTTAAAAGCCTGCGAACTTCATCAGCTGTGCTTGGGCAGCTCTGGAATTGATTTATGTTTTGTTTTAGACTAGTGCACGTGGCAGGAATTGGTTTGAGAACCCCCATTCCCAGGAGGTCCCTGTTGCATGGACATGAAGTCTGTGTCCTCTGTTCTGCTTTATGTTGTGCTGTTGTTATTGGCTAAGTGTTTTATCTTGGACATCAGTTGTCATGGTGAGTTTATTGTGCCAGATCTGCAATCTCAGATGTGCAGGCATGTGAGAGCAGGACCTCTGACAGCACAAGCCACTGGATCCCCCCTGATTGTCCATATGTAGTGGTGGCAGTGCTGGGCTAACAGCTGGACTCAATGATCTTAGAGGTCTTTCCCAACCTTAATGATTCTGTGATTCTATGGTTCTGTTTATCTCCTGTGAGGTGCCACCAGCTTGCAGTCTGTGATTTAGTGGTGCTATTTAATCAGGATTTGACTGGAGAAGCAACTGATTAAAGTTACCTGTCATAAGCACAGACACAGAAAATCTTTAAAAATGGAAAAATAGGAGAAACTCATACTGAAAATGTCTGTGGTGAAATCTGTTCTTGTGTGAAAGGCAAAGAGCTCACAGGCCATCCTTACAGAAACATTTTAGCCTCTGTCCATGAGCACCAGCCTCTTGGGGAAGGGCAGTACAGGTGTTTTCCCACGCCCTCTCATCCAGTGCTGTTTTTACCACTAACTTACCTGCTGTAGCACTTGCACACACATCTGGCACAGCAGGAATGCAGCTGGGGGATGAAATTTGTTCCAGATGTGCTGGATGAGCTCCTTTACCTGACATTAGCAGCGTGTACATTGAGAGATGGGATCCAGCACATGCTTTTCCTGACACATTCTTGCCTGGCAGCACTGCTCCGGTCCTGCACCTTGGGTAGGTCCTTCTGCAGGACTTTGGGCAGTGGCCCAGATTGACCCAAGCCTGGCTCCCTGCTGTGTGGCCTCTCTGAAGAAGGGCTGTGTGCATCCAGCCATTCCTCCCCAGGACTCTGACTCCAGCCCAGGGTGATCCCTGAGGTAAAGAATGCAGAGATTCCATCTCTGTGATGCAGCACATTCGGGGGGTGCAGGTGCCATGTTTTGGTGAGCCACCCTTTGCCGTTGCATTTATTTCATAAGCAACATGTTATTTCCAATTAATACAAGATTCTTTACTTAAATCATGTCCTGTGCCTGTAAGGGTTCCTACCCAGGTCTTCCATGCCCCATGCCTGGGAAACATTTCTGGTCAGGTTGGAAGGAGGCTCTGAGCAAACTGATCCAGTTGAAGGTGTCCCTGCTCACTGAAGGGGAGTTGAAATGAGGTGACCTTTAAAAGATCCCTTCCAACCCAAACTATTTTATGATTCCAGATTGTCTTCTGTAAACTTCTCCTTTCAGAGAATCTTAAACCTATCTTTTGAATTTTCGAGATGGATAATTGGAAGAAGATAGGAAAGTTTCAATGGGTGTTCCTCTTTTCTCTGCAATTTTGTAGATCAGACAGATGCTTCTCATACTGAACCTAAAGGATCACCCATCAGCCTGAAGTGACTACAGTAGATCCTGCAATGTACGTCAGGAGTAGAGAAGAGGTTTTTAAGAAAATGTTGGTAGTCTCTTAGGTTTCTAATAAGAGACTCAGTGGAATCTCAAAGCTGCTTCAGTTGAGTTGAGGGTTGGGTTTTTTTATTTTTTTAATGGACTTTGCTCTTGGTCTTCAAAATCATCCTCATCTCTAAGAATACTTTGACGCTAAGGCAAACCCGGTACCTTTTGAAGTGTGATAATAACCAGAAGGCAGGTAAAACTGGCTTCCTGCAGCTCCCATGCTGTCGAAGGTTCCCTTACAAGGTTACACCCACCCCCCAAAACTCCAGGTGAACCAGCGAGTTGGAGAGGAGGGTCAGGCTGGATGATCTCAGGAGCCAGATAGAGCACTGTGCACCCAGATCTAAATTGCCCTGGACTGATTTGGAGCCAGGGAACACAAAGGGGACTTTAATACTGCAGTGAGCAGAGGTTCACATAATGGGGGAATCTAATCTCAGACAAGAGATTAGATTGTCTCAGCTTTGAAAGCTTTTTCCATATTTTTGATGTAGATGACATTCTTCAGGTTTGCTGGTGTTTTTACTGCACAGACTGTCAGGGAGCTAAATTCACAGAGGGCAGATGAAGACCTGTGTTGCTTTTAAGATCAAGACTTGGCTTGTGATGTTTGGTCAGCAGGAGGAGGAGGTGTTTTGTCGGAGACCTTGATACCAACAAGTCTGCATTAAGAAACAAAACTGGGTGGATGGTTTTGGTGTGATACTTAAGGCCACATTACAAAACCATGCGATAACTCATGGTTATTGCATAGTTTTCAGGAATGCTGAAGAGAAGTTTAGGGTTGCAGTATCAGTGGGGCTGGACTGAGGGTGCTCAGAGCTGTTGAACTCTTGGTTTACTGTCTGTTTTAAAGGAGCCTGGGATAACCCTCCCTCGAGGGTTGGACTGAGTTTTGTGATCCACTTGTCTGGTAGATCCTTGTCTGAGCGCTTTCCCACCACACATCCTGGGGCAGACACTTTCTGTCCACTCCCTCTTCATCTGCTGGCCCAGGCTCAGGATCACTGCAAAGGGGTCACAGCTTTTCCTCGACTGCAATTTGCTTCTTAAAGAGCATGTGGCATTGCCCAACATGTGTCTTGCACAGACTTGGCAAAGTTTAACTTACAAATCCAGAGCCTTGTGCTGCTGTTTCTTGAAACCTCTTTTGGCCTTACTTCAGGATCCTTCAGGTTGTCACAAATCATCCTGGTGCTGGGTTTGAAGCAAAGGGGCTCTCTGCCCTCTCTCCTCAGTCATTGCCTTTTCAGGTCTCTTTGACAGTAATTCCTTTGGGTTCATTCATCTCTGCAGGATGGAAGTTGGCTAAACAGGCAGGCACATTAAGGGCTAAACCAAGGAAGTGCTTTCTATCCAGAAGGTCTGAGGAAGCTGATGTTATCTTTGTAATAGATTGTGAAACTGAGGCCAATGCCCTCTCTGCAGCACTTGGGCTGGGGCACAGGTTCCTGACACCCACTCCAAAATGCTGCCCTGGGCCCTCCTTTCCTCTTGTTTGGATCACTGACCACACATCTCTCGATGGTCCCAGCACTACCTTCCCTACTGCTTTTGGAGAAATAGAAGGAATTGTGCCTCTTTGGTCCCAGTCAGATGTGTGCTGTCACATGGCTTTTCTGGCTCTGCATGCTTCTCCCAGTCCCTGTTCCAGAGGCGGAAAAACATGCTCCAAGAGTTATTGCTTTTCTCCTTTTTATTTGATGTTCTTTGCCTGTCTCTGCAGAGCCGTTCAGATAAGGGGATTTATCAAGCTTGAACTAATTAACCCTGGATGCAGGAAGTCAGAATGGAGTGTTCCAGCTCTGAAATCCTCAGCCTTACCCTGAAGCACACTTGGGTCTGAAGGAGTTTCGCATCTCTTTTCCCTTGCTGGCAGATCGCTGTGGTGAACTTCTGCTGTTGCCTTACCAGACTTCTCTCAATAATGTGCTATGAGGATGCTGTCTTGGCTGCTCTGTACCCAAACTGTGTGAAGCAGGATTGCATGGGGTGCCTCTGGATGGCATGGGGTGCCTCTGCCGCTCACCTTCGAGGTTCCTGTTCTTAAAGATTTTTTCCTTCATCGAGAGAGAGAGTTGATTTTGAAAGAAATCCAGTAATTCTACCTGTAGGAAGGTGCTTCAGAAGTTGTTACCAATTGCTTTGTCAGTGCAGAACGGGCAGCCAAAGAGTGACTTCACAAAAAAAGGAGGAAAGCAGCTACCTAAAAGATCAAGAAGGAAAAAAAGAAAAAAAAAACGTTGCTTAGCTGCCTGCATGGGACCTTCAGAGCCTTCTCCCCCTTGTTTCATGTTGCCATAGAACCAGTGGGTCTTAAAAAAATGTCTGTCCAAGACAGAGTTTAAAAGTCATGGTTGGGTTTTCTGCTGTTCCCTGGCTATGCTTGGTGGTGTCATCTGTGTGGAAAGTGCAGCAGGACTTTGATGTCAAATGGGTTATCCTGCCAAGGTTAGACAGTGATCCAGAGAGAGCTGCTGAACTCTGAACTAGATGAGAGACCTCCACGACACACATATGGAATCAGTGAAAAACATGAGGGCTTCCAACAGAATCCAAACCAGAGAAGAAAGATAACCTCATGCCTACCTCAAAGCACTGATCTCTTGTCAACAGGATCAGAGCTGAGTCCTGGTTCACATGGGAATCCTTTGGAATCCTCCTGTCACCAATGGCCATGAAGCTCTTTCCCTCCTACAGGAGGAGGAGGGGGAGGGAGGGAGGAATGTCATTCAGTCATAAGGTCAGTCACACTTCCATCCTTGCAGCTCCAGATTTAGTGTCTCCTTTTGGCACCAACCCGTTTGCAGTGTCTCTAGCTCTGTGGGAAGGTCAGCAGTGCAGGCGATGAGCCCTCTGGTAATTCAGTGCAGACCTTCCACTTGAAGGACCAGATCTCTGATAAAAGCTTGGGACTACAAGTTGGGATGTGATAAACTCTAAGGGAGATATTCCTCGAAGCCCAGAAAGGTGCATAATTCCTGTGTGTTGGGTTGCTGGGACAATAACACCCTCTTTCTTTTAGGAGCATTTTCTGTTAATGATATGAAGTTTGCAGACACATTTCATGGTACATTTTTTTGCTGTAATGACCTGCTTAGGCTAGTTTTTCCTTTCTCCCCTGTGTAGCAGAAGTGTTTGCTTCTTTGTAACCCAGATTGAGGAAATCGAAATAGTCTGGGCTAAGGGAAAAATATAAAAGATTGGTTTTGGATAGAATTGTTTCAAGGTGGGATGGTTCCCTGGGCCATCTGCAGTGCAGATGCAGCTTGTTCCAGCACATGGGAGACATGGCAGGGATTGGCAGGGAGGGGACATGGGATGGATGAGCCAGACCTTGAGCTGCTATGGCTCTCAAGAGCTCTAGGCCAGGTGTGGGCTGACACCGAAGAGAAACACTCAGGATCTCCAGTTCACCTTCTCTTGAACACAGTGTAACTTCAGCCCCTGTTCATTTGGATTTTTACTGTTTTTTCCAGATTGCCCGACAGGAAGGCAGAGTCATTTTAACCTCTGGACTCCCATATCAGACTGTAAGTGTTCCGAGCTGCTGCCGTGTTTCTGGCATTGTATCACTGCATGGTCTGGGGTGTGCAGGGGAGAGAAGAGGAAAAGTCACATGTGAATGCAACAGCTGGCTTGGCTTTTTCATGTTTTCTGCACTAAAAGCTATGTTAAGGGTCTTGAGAGGTTTGCTGTTCTCAACTGCCAGAGCTTGGGGTGAAATATTCTTTTATACTTATTCTCAGTCCTGCATCAGTGGGGAGAGCAATTGCTCTCTGTCGGGGGCAGATATGGAAGTCAAGCCAAGCAATCCAGAACAAAATGTTTCTGTTTGACCTCACTGGCAGGTGAAAGGCAGCTCCATTCCTGTGCTTTTTATCCCAGAGATTCTTGTTTACTGACTGGCTCCACACTGACAGTTTCAACACGTAAAGACATTTCTTCAGGCTTGGAAGGCAGAGATTGGAAGTCCCCGAGGGTCCTGATGGAAACTGTAGAGGTTTTGTGTTCCTATAGATAAACAAAAAAGTCAAAGAAAACCCAACCTTACCCTCAACACCAGCTGTTCAGAGCCCTTCACAGACAGTGTTGGTGGGGATCTGCTGAACCTGCCAAGTCAGTGGTTGCAATGTTGTAATGACCTGCTCCAGGTAGCAATTTTTTACTGCCCAAAAATTCATTTGGAAGAGGGAAACTGTTCTGGATGAGCCAGAGTTCTGTTCACGTGAGCCAGAGTGCAGGACTTCTCTGTCACAAACTGTCAGTACAAAACCTCCCAACTACTCAATCAGCCAGCTGGAGTATTTGCAGAATATGGGTTGATGATTTCCTATGTCATAGCTGAGTGTGGAAGAAAACTCCCCCCACGATGAGACATGGAGGCAAGTGCAGTTGTGTCACACTGCAGGTTCTTCATCCAGACTGTGGTTCCTTGAGCCTACAGCTGATGTTATAAGTAATTCAGCATCCAGCATAATCTTGTTTGGCAAAGCTTAAACTTCAAAGTTCTGTGTAGGAATTGTAGAAGGAAAATAACTATTTCCAGTGTACAGTACTGACCTGGGAAATGTCTGGGTCCCTTTGTTCCCTTGCCTTTGGATGTCCTCTGCAAGGACAGGATGGCTCTGCCAGGCTCCTTTACTGGTGTGCAGCTATCCCACCTTGTGAGTACTCAGCATGGTCATAAAAATATGTCTGGAACTTCCCAGTGCTTGTTCCCAGATGTAGACTTCTCTTCTAAATGTGGAACAAACACTGAGGGACTGTCCACGTCAACCCCTTCAAATTTTTTGACCATAAGGGAACTTAAACATTCTGTGAAGCAGAAGGGTTGGAGGGGTCATTGGACACCATTTCCATCCTCGTGCTTTGGCACACTGATCTGGCCAGATTTCATCTGATAGCTGGGATTTAATTCAGTTTCCTCTTGCTACCCCTGTTAGCACCACTGCACCAACTTATAAACTGACAGGATTTTCCATCTTCTGTAGAACAGAATCATGGAATCATTAAGGTTGGAAAACACCTTTAAGATCATCAAGTCCAACTGTTAACCCAGCACCACCACCAAGACCACCACTAACCTGTGTCCTCGAGTACCCCATCCACATGTTTTTTGAATCCCTCCAGGGATGGGGACTCCATCACTGTCCTGGGCAGCCTGTGCCAGGGCTGGACAACCTTTTCAGTGAAGAAACTTTCCCTAATATCCAACCTAAACGTCCTCTGGCACAATTTGAGGTCGTTTCCTCTTGTTACCTGGGAGCAGAGCCTGACCCTGACCTGGATCCAACCTCCTGTCAAGGAGTTGTAGAGAGTGAGAAGGTTCCCCCTGAACCTCCTTTTCTTCAAGCTAAATCATATTTCATGTTTATAAAATACTGCAGTGCTTCAGGAGTCAGAGCTACCGCAGCAGTGACTGACTGTTAAATTACCAACTGTGCTGGTTAGATCAAAATTCAGACTGTAAAGACATACTAACTCCAAACATTATTTGTAAGTCAAACCAAACCAAGTGTATCAGGAAAATCCCCACATATGCCTTACTGAGTGTCTTTTTGGTTTGAAGCTGCAGTCCCAGGTGGGAGAAGGAAGGTGTTTCTCTGTGAACTGCTCAGAAAAGGCAAAAGAACAGGCCCTGCAGGTTCTGAAGCACTTCAACGTCCAGGTGTCCCTGAGTGATATCTTCAGCCGCTGCCAGGTAGGACGAGGCTGGTTTGAGTCCTGGGGCCCTCTCACTCGCTGTTTCCTGCACAGCAGACGCTTCTTCGGTATTTTGGGCCTTGCACTCAGTGTGTTCCTGGTTCCCAAGAGTTCTGCTTCAACTTTGGCAGCCCCTTGCAAAGCCCTGAGGAGTTCTGAGTGCGCTCACGTCCCTCAGAGTGGTGATGGCTCAGTCATGGCAGCAGAGGCTCTGAATCTGCAACTTTGCTAGAAACTCGCCTGTTCTTCTGATTTTTGGTACTTGGCATGTGTTTTGGCATCGACTGTCATGGTTATAGTCTCTTTGTTGCTGTGTTCTCTGTCTAGGACACATGCTGTTTTAATTATGAACTGCGTTTAATTATGTCTCTGTGATTCTGATAACACTTAATTACTTTAATAGGAGGATTTTTTCATAGGACTTCTTTTTCTTTCAGAAGCTATTAGGTTAATTCATGTCCATGCTAGTTGATGACTCTAGATTGTGTTTGGCACTGTGTATCTGTGGATTGTTGTTAAGAATAAATTTTAATTGTGTTAGCTCAAATCACCATCTCTTCCAATTTCACTCTTATATTTGTTACAGCAACACGCTGAAACCTATCCCTCCAAAAACTGTAATATAAACCAACGGGCAGCTCCAACATCTCTCATCTTATCAGTGTTTAAAGAGAGAAAAAGAAGAAACTGGAAATTGGCTAGAAAAGGAGCTTTCTCTTAGGGATAAACAAGCCCTTGAGTCTGGCTCAATGCCTTGTGGTTGAGCTCCGGGGTCTCCTGGCCCAGTGGAGCTGCACAAGCAGTGTAGGAGCAGCACTGACTCCTGAGCAGACACACCAGAGAGCATGTCCTAGACCTCTGCTTATATCTGCTGTTCGATGTTGAAACTGGATCTGTAACTTAGAGAGGAAATGAGGGTTGTCCAGCTGGGCAGGTTGCTGTGAGAGGAGGCTGACGGAACACCCTGCAGGTCGGATCGACAGAATATGGGTCGATCTTACTGCAGGATAAATGTACATACTCAGATATAGCATACTGCCTTCAATCCTGTGGTTTTATTGTCCCAGAGCAGATTGCAGTTGTTATACATATTTACAGTGGCATGCTGGCTTCTTGGTGATTTTAAACAAAACTTTAAAAAACCTCATGGATTCTCCGATTCCCTGACATCCCATAAAATAGCAGTGTTCCTCCTGATGGTTGTTGAAATACCACAAGAATCAGCACACACACACAAAACCATGCTGCAGGAAACCCTGTACTCTCTGTAATAAATGCACAAGACTGTGCAGCAGCCGATGGAAAACTGACCCCTCTCCAGCAGGATCTGGGGTCTGGAACTGGTTAACTCTATGGGTTTAGTACATGCTGTCTTGGTTTACAATATAAATAGGGGTAATCAATCTGGCTAGGAATATATACTAACTGTTCTCTTACTTCCAGGAGAAATGCCTTCCCTGTAAATTGTGGTGGTGGAACAGCTGCATGTTTTATACCCCTCGGCATGGGAAGATGCTGATTTGTCAAACCTCTCCATGTTCTGAATCATGTATTTACCTACATTCAAGGCTTTTAGAGCTTATTTTGTTCCACTGTCCTCTGCAGACAGCACAAGTCTGGCTGATAATGTTACTGATGCTCTGGAGGAGAACCCAAGCTCTTCCAGCTGCATGTGCCCAGGCACTGCAATGGTCTGTGGACTGTGTGTGAGGGGGGCTGTGGGCAGCACATGGAAATGGATCATCCTCCAGCACTGTGCAATATTGACAGCCTTGTCAAAAATGGCAGATTTCTGCCTTGAAGAGGGTGCTCTGGGGCCTCAGTGGCCAACAGAGACCTCAGCAGTTCTTTTGTATGTTCTTTCTAAAACATCCTCATTCTCTGCAAACCTAATTGGACTTAATTAGAATGCAGTCTGGATGCTGAAACTGCTGAGCTGTGCCTGCCAGCCTGCCCGTGCTGCTCTGGGGCCAGGTTACAGACCCCAGGGCTCCCAAACTGCCCTGAGCCCTGCCCCCTCCTTGCAGAGGGCTGGCAGAGGGTTTTGGCTGTCCCTGAAGTGGGGAGCAGGTTGGGCATATGAGCGGGGCTCTAGAAACAACTGAGTGCTGCTGTGTCCATGCTAGGCAGAAGGAAGAGGATGGGGAATACTGATCCATAACATGGGCCACTCTCCTCCCTTGTCTCCGTAGAGCTGGTCGCCAGTGCAGGGGTGGGTTATGGACCCCATCACCCATCACAGATAAGCGTTCGCTCTGTGTCACAGGAAGCAATGTGGCATCCTGCCTGCCTCCCTCTGTCTCATAGAGCAAGGGCTTGTTTTGTCTCCTGGGCTTCTGTTCTGTAAATGATTGGAGTAAATATGTCAGCAAATATTGTTGTCGTAACAATTAATGCGTGTAGTGCAGAGCCCACGGTAAAAATAGGTTCCAATTCAATGTTGTACCCAAGATTGCTGGAAAATATGTTTCCTCTGTCATCTCCCTCAGCAGGGACGGAGGGGCTCGCTTTTGCAGACGTAAAGAATGGGATTGCTTTGTCACCCTGCCAAAATACTGGTGTTTTTTTCTGTTAGAACAATGGCCAATACTGGTTACTTCTGTCTGATTTAGAGCAGCAAGTGCCCAGGGAATGTCACCCAGGGGCTTCTCAGCATTTTGTTCCCTCTTGAGCTGGGCTTTGGCTTGGTTGCTCCAGTTAAAGGCTCCAGGAGTGGGGACTACAGCCAAAGGTGTCAGTGATGGCACAGGAATGGCCTTCTCTTTCCATGCATCTCTCAAGTGCTGTGTTGTAAGGACTTGGTGATAGTCATGGAGAAACCACCCCTGCACAGCAGCTGTAGCCAGGCCTGGTGCTGCCTTTGGCGAGGAATGTTTTAGGGGGGTTGAGTAAAAATAAGATTAATTCTGTCTTTTGGTGACATGCAAAAAATCCCCTGAGAAGTTCTACATTTCACAGCCTTAAAATATTTGAAACCCATTCCCTCTATTTGAAATGCAAATGTCCTGTGCCTGTCACCTCTGCACACATTTGAATATCTTGTATGCAAGTATCTTGTATTTCAGATATCCGAAAGTACCTCCTTCAGGAAGGGGCAATGTGAAATGATGCTTGGGGCGTTCTGACATGATCAGGTCAGAACAATGAGCCCTTACAGTAGTCAGGAACATCTCTGTAGAGTTGTCAGGGTCTGTTGTGGGCAGCCTTAGGGCCAGCTCACAGCCTGGCTCACATGTGAGGCCAGTGATCCTCTGCTCTCCACAGCTTGGAGGGAGTTCTAACACAGAAGTAGCATTTAAAAAAGAAAGAAATACCAAAACTTGCTAAGGAAGGTGGCTGCTGGGTGGCTGCAGTCATGGCTATGGGCAGCTGACAGCTGGGTCATTTCACAGTGGGAACTTTGGCTCCTTCCCCAGGTCCCTCCATTCATGGAGGTTGTTGTCTCCCATCCCTCCTGGTGCTGCAGGTGGGATGTCCCTGCTTGGGGACATCCTGCTGCGACACTTGGGTATGGCCTGTCAGGACAGTAGGAGGACATTCCAGTCTCATAAAGAAACTCTTGGAAACAGACATGTTTTGGCAGATATTACCTGGATGAGTGGTGCGGCTTTTGCCATCCGGCTTTTCCGTGCTGTCTGATTGAAGGTCCACCCAAAGCAGGTGTGGGCTGTATCTATGGACCTGCCAGTGCCTCATCACTGACTGCTTGGTGAGCCCGAGGTCTCAGGACATTTTACTCTCCGTGGCTGGGGTGCAGTGTCTGGCCCTACCAAGTTCTTGTCAGTGACAAAACACTTGTGTGGAAGCAGATCAATGGAGGTGCAGGGCTGGCAGTGCCACTTCTCACACACTAACAGGGTGAAATCACGGTTTGAATGGTGATAAACTGAGGAGATAAACACTGCAAGTTGTTGGCTTTAAATCTTTATATCACAATGGTTTGAAGGGAAAACAGCGTGTTCAGTGTTCTATGGGCTCGCTGAGAAATTCCTTCTGTTCTGGAAGAATCTTGAGGTTAAAGGATTCTAACTCTGCTGTAAAACCGTCACTGGTGTGAGGCTCTGCAGCCACATTTGGAGCCAGGAAAGCCTGTCTGTCCGCAGAAAAGCTGCCTTTCCTCAGAAGTGAAGCTGCTGCTCAGCTCAGTTCTGAGTCCAAAGCTCGGCTGGGGGACCCGGGTCCTGCAGGGCGGCTATGCCACCCCCCACCTCCCCTGGGCCTCTCTTTCCTTTCCCACCCTCTGTTTGACTTGACCCTTTAGTCTTTAAGCGGGCCAGGGCAGGGACCCTGCTTGAACAATACCTAACACAACGGGAGGCTGATCCCAGGTGAGGTTTCAAGGCTTTCCTGCCAGTAAAAATGATTGCAATTATATCCCCTGCAAAAATAAATGTGTGGGGAAAAAAAGATCTCAGGCTCCAGCAGCAGTTTGTGCATCTGAACAGCCCTGCATTGATGGTGGGATTATCTGCAAATTCAAATAGGTTGTCTCTTTCACTTCACTGAATTCTCTGATCCTAAATAAGCAAATTACATCACCTATTCTGATGTCCTGTTTAACTTATGACCTCAGCCTCAGTGCTGCAGGATGTGAGAGATAGCTGCTCGATTTCATTGTCTGGAGATCTGATATATTTTTCTCCTTTTTTGCCCCCCCCCCCTTCCCTGCTCTTTCAGTTTCCAAACCACTCACCCCAGCCTTTACAAAGGTGTTAGCAAGGGATTAGGAGTAGGCGGGGAAGAGGGGGAAGGAAGAGAGGAAACCACCTTTTTTTTTTTTTTAAATTAGGTGCAAAAGCATTCTGACAGTTGCAGCAAATGTTTCTGGGTTTTTGTGGTTGAGGTAACAAATTTCGTTGCTGCAAAGCTCATCATGTGCAAGCTGATTTACGCAGAGGGAGCCTGGGATGGAGCAATCCATTTAGCAGGGACAAAGAAAAAGGCCTTATGATGAGATGGAAACCCTCTGCTTGGGGCACTTTGCAAGAACCTTTGAAG